ATCAGTCTAATCTTCCCTTGAACCAATATAATGATTTGTATATCATTCTGTCAAAAATGGCATTTTAACTCACCAGCTGCAATTACATATGATTCCTTAATTAGAATAAGCTTTTTTAAAACAAAGTAAAATGTTATGCTGCACTTGAAAAAAATAAATTGTGAATTTGAGTCTAAAGCAATTTTGCTTGCTAAACTTCTTCTTGCAAGCAATATGCTGATTTTTTTTTAAAGGAAAAAAGTGGCATTCTTAATAATGTACAATGTATTTTAGTCATTATTCAAATGGGAAAATGTCATGCAATAAACTGAGACCCTTTTAAAAATATTCAGGGCAATGTGATGCAATGTCAAGATAGCATGACCAATCTCACATAATTGGTTTTCAAGAGCACAGTATGTTTGTAGTTCAAAGCAGCCACTACAGCAACAATACTAAATATTTTTCATATTTCATTTTTTAGCATTTATGCAGAAGTCTTTATACATATATTGTCTTATTTAACCTAAAGCTGCTATGAAACGTAAGTTCTTCATCGTTTCTTAATATCAAGAACAAGGAATCTTGCAGGTGAAAAAATACCTCTTGTATGTAAGATTTCACAATTAAAATATATAACTGGGTCTGGAAAGGTGGATGGCTCTGTAACATTAAAAAAAAAAAAATCTGTCCAAGTTCCAGGCAAAAGCATGTGGAAAAGACTCTGTGAAAAATGATGGAAAGTAAAAAGACAGTATTTCATCAATACACTGTAAATCTTTCTGAATCTCCTTTCTTCCCCTCCCTTAATTTAACCTTTCAGGGACTCAAAAAAGTCTTGTTCAAGTTTGGCTATTCCAAAATAGCCAAAATGAGAAGTTTTGGGTTGAAATTATAGATATTACCTGCTTCGATTATTGTTCACTTTTAGGGAAAAATTTTGATTCGGAAAGACACTTTATTCCATTTTCAGTATCTCAGACCAAAACCTGGAATCCCATTAATTAACAGGGATCATAGGAACTAGTCACTTCATTGCTAACTTAAACACCCAATGCATGATTAACCATTGCCCTATAATGAGATAGGGCTGTACAACCTCTGTCCTCTTAAGTGTTTCTGTAGAAAGATAACTTTTTCCATCCTTACAAGGTACAGTTTCATCAGGACATTATGCCTGTGTTAATTAGAGTTACTCTGTTCCTCTGGGGTTAACGGTGCCAAGCACACATTTCATGCTCAATAATTAATAATATTCCTGCATGGCAGTATGAGACTGCAATTGAAATAGGGCTTGATGGCAGCTCTCCATTGGCAACACAACAAATTACCTTTGCTTTGCACTGCATTTAAAAAACCCAAAGATACCCTGACATACCTTTAGTTAGTTAAACTTTTTACTTAAAAAAGGAGGAAAAAAAATCTTATGTCTAAGTGCAAAAACCAATCTAATTGCTAGGATTTTTTTTTTTCAGAGGACAGATTGTCTGAAACAACTACTTTTTGCTCTTGCAAGCTCTTGTGTTTTGTGAAGATTCTCAGCTTGTGTAGTATGGACATTTTAACAGAATCTGTCTACAACCACCCACATTCTAACCATAGGCTATTTTTCCAGGATTGAAGAATGTCTTTGGCCAAACTATTCACAAATGTAGGCTATGGCAAACCTCCTAGGTCTGGCCGGTCAGCATCCTCCAGATGGGGGATTTACAACCATATGGAATGCACTCCTGGTCCAGGTATACAAGATCCTCTGCATGGAAATCAGGAAAGAGCAGAGGTAGGAAGGGCCATGAGCATAGCTGGGTCTCACCCTAACATGAAGTCAGGACCATGAAGGTACCAGCACCTGGGTCTAATGTGAAGGCATAGTCTGATGAAAGCCATATCTAAAGACTGTAATCTCTTGTGACTACAGAGATGGAAAAAAAAAAAAAAAAAAAAAAAAGGCATCTATACCTACACACACATAAAAGCTGGTTTCTACAGCATTTTAGTGAATCACTATTGATCTCGTTCAGGATGATGATTCCCATATTCTGCCTTTGTTTCCCATAGTATCCATTAATTTTGGTCTACAGGAGAAATTTTGTTTGTTTGAAGGTGAAGGCAAGGAAAAGGCAAACAAAACGTCTAGAAGACCTTCAGACATGAGCAGTCACACTGGTGTTTCTTGCCATATATCAAATGTACATCTAGTTCATTAAAAGACAAGGCAGTACCAACAGGGTTTCTCAGCCCAGGAGCAAGTTTCTTTCTTTTTACTGATCCCCTTTGGAGAGTCCAGAGTACTTCTGTGTAAGCTAGAGAGATGTGACAAAGTATTTGGCAAACAGACAAGGTCTGCAGTACTGAATTACTGGGAATTACCTCCCAAATTTCCTGTCACTGATCAACACTTACAAAACATATTAGCATTTTCCATTAAGCTTTTTTCTTAAGACAGTTTGCTCCTGTGCAAAAAAAAGACACCGCCTATAATGCCCCACCAAAAAATCAAAAAGAAACAACCCCAAATGACACAAAATATTTTAAATCCTTCAAGAGAATTTAGTAGCTGCATTTCTGCACAGAATCAAAGTCTTCTTTCTCTTTTCTGACCAGTATATAGTCCTGAAAATGATAATGAGAAAATAACTCTGTTCTTGTACTCTGTAGTGTTTCATGCCTCCTCCACACACTAGCCAAAATACCCAATTAATTTTAACACTAGTATTTCTTATGTAAACTGCAATGAAATGTCTGGGGGTTTTTCCTCTCAACAGATTGTCTCTTTTAAAGCAATCCTTAGTTTTAGCAAACTGGAAATGGACACTTCTCTAATGCAAAATGTTCTGAGGCAGAATCATTTCCTTTGTCTTCTCTGAAAGCTAAAAACCCTTTTTACCCAGGATGCTGGGAGTACCTTTCCAGAATGGTCGCCCAAAGAATTTTGCAGCTTCCTTTCAACAGTTAGATGCACTTTAAACACTGGTAGGATTGATTTAAGTTTGGTCACTGTTTTCATAATTATGTTGATATTTAGCACCAAATGAATGGCAGTGTAGCAGTTACTACGGTTCAAGACTCTGAGGCATTATGTGACAACGTACTATTTCTGATGGTGTAATTTGCTCTTGAGTGGATGGAAAAACTTGAGAGATTCATAGTAATCTTTCTGCAGACTATCAAGGCATTGAAATTTATTCTAAGGTGAAATGGACAATTTGGGAAGTTTCTTTATCTGTGTCACATCCATCCTAACCAGGGGTTCTTCAGGATGGAGTTATCAAGGACACTTACCTCTTGTTTCTTTTTGTTCATTGTATTTGAGAATTCAGTTTATTGTGAGCATTTATAGTCTTCAAATTCTTTCTCCTACTATGGACTTTTTCCTCCTTCTGCTTTGCTAGGCAAAATATTTCGTTTGGTGATTTGGTCTAAACATTACTGTGTTTCCTTCCTGCTCTTCTGAAGCTCTACTTTCTTTGATGTCTAACACCTTCACACCAACTTTATTTCTTTTTTTTTTCCTGTGAAGTTTCTATGCACTCTTTTCTCTTTGTTCTTTCTCCCTGGCTACCCCAATTTAATTTGTATGATCCATTTTGACTTCCTTTGTATTTTTCAGTGAATTTTTATACTGTATAAGTCCATCCACTCTTTCTTCTGCTCTAGGAATCGACTTCCATTTAATACGTATGTGTCCTGTGCGAATCTCATGCCTATCTGGGAGCACTACATATACCACACTCTGGATTGCCTTAAAACCTTGGTAGCCAGCCTGCAAAATTCCTGTTGTTCCTCCTCTCAGTAAGGTTATAATTAGTAAATGAAAGGACTTTGCACTGAACACATCTCATTTTACTGTCTCTGGTTCACTAAGCTTCTTCATCAGTTATTTATGCAATATACACTGCATCTGAGGGTCTACTACAACTGCACCCAATGTTAAGTCTCACTTTCTGTGCACTCAGGTTATTTCTCTTCTACAGGATAGCTCTCTTCAAGGTACTTTTGCTATCTAGATCAGCTTAATGAATGAGCAACAAATAAGTAATTTATTCTGTAATTTTAGCAGTGTTAGATGCACAAGCTCCTCTATAGAATTTGAGAATGGGATATCACAAACTCTTTGAGAAGACATCTGCAGGTATTTTGCCCAAATTTTCTTAAAGCATTTAAATAGGTATTTCAACACTTAGCACATGAATTTGTACTATTAGGGTGAATTTCGCTACTGGGAAGAGAGCTGTATAAGACTACTTCATGGCTCACATCCCTATGTAACAATGACCAGGTCTTATCCTGGTATCCTATCCAGAGATTAATTAGATCCTCAAGTATTAAACTCTTTATCCAAGTGAATTTTTCATTCAAGTGTGAGCTATGGTATTTAAAAATGCATAGTGCTGCACTGGGCTCTTGGATTGGGATTGATTTCTTTAGATTTTATGGCTACATCTCAGCAAGTCATCTAACTTTTGTTTATTGCTAACGGAGAGAGGAAAGCCCATTCATAACATGAACTGTGAGCCCATCCAAATTTTACCTAAGCAATGAACTGCACTGGTGCTTGATTTGAAAAGTGGAACAAGTCAAGTGTTCCAAATATGTAGGATCAGGTAAAAGTAATAAGTTAGGATTGAGAATGTGGCCACCAGCTGATTTCTCGTTGATCCTTAATTTAAGTTTTGTTTCCCTTAAACTGTTTAGCCTATACGTTTTGGTCTAACTTCAAAAAATATTAAAGATAAAAAGTTAGCATGTTATTTATTCTGTAGATTTTTTTTTTTGGCTCTTCCTATACATCTATATTTAAAGAAAATGGTGAGCACCTGTCCTGCATTATCCTGTTTGCTTTAACACCGGTCTGGGGTTTTATGCAGCTATTCCACCACTCCCACAGCTGCTTTACACTATTCCCCACCACTGCCACAGTAACATTCATGTGCATGGCCCTTTGCACAGCAGCTGTCACAGAAAGCTGAGCACACAATCACTTCTCTCTGTTTGCTCCTGTTGTTGTCGTGATTTATTAGGTACAAAGGCAGGAGACTGGCTCCCCCGCACAAGTCGGAAATAGAGTGTTTCACCCCAAAAGGGAGTATGGGGAATGGTGGGAGAGCTACAATGACCAGGTAAGCAAACAGCAAGTGGCCTCAGGGCAGTGTGATGTGTCTGTGAACAGCAGGAGCAGCCCTGGACAATGCCAGGCCACCTGCTCTGTCTGTAGTTTCTGTGTATCCAATAAAGTATGTTTAGAAAAGAAAAGAAAAAAGAAAACATGTTGCCACTGCTGATTTCTGTGTTCCATCTGACCTCCAAAAAAGCCCTGCACCATGTTCATTCAAGTGGTCTCAACCACATGTCCTGTGTGATGTTGTTGTAATACGGTGCTTTTGGGAGGAGAAATCTCACACCTGACTCGTTTAGCCAGTCAGGCAGTTGAAGAGAATCAGTTTTGAAACTTGAAGTAAGGGTAGTCCTGCTGCATGTTAGGGATTACATTAAGCCTAATCAAAAGAACTTTTAAAAAGGGCAGAGAACAAAGGATTGATGAAAACATTTTCAATATGAAAATGTTGGTTCTTCTCAATCAAAATATCTTGTGGGAAAGTGTTTTACGGCAGTTTTAAGGAAAGGTTTCAAACTCATTTAAACTAAGGGTTAGAAAATCTTCTTCATAACTTGCTCCATTTAATTTAACTTACATACTTACTTTAATTTTTTTTGACCATTATATATTGCATGACATTAAACACCGATATTAAAATTTAATGAACACAAAATACTACATTTTTTCAATGTTACTAGGAATACTAGGTTCAATATGGCCATTTTGATGGTTCTGTATTGAAATATTTCTAACTATTTAGTTCTGTGAAGTACCTGTAAATTTCAGCTATTCATCTCATTTTGAGTCCAAAAAGTTGAACTCTCCTGTAGCACAGAAAATTAATTTCTCCCGACATCTCTGTTCATAAATTAATATGCTGCATATATCACAGATAGTTATAAATCTTTCATTAAACAATACTCTTAATAAGCATTGTATCTGTTACATTCTACCACATGATAGTACCATTTTACCATTTATTAAAAGAACTACTCATTCCTTATTGAGCCCTGTAAGATATTTGTAAATGTAACTGTAAAGCATGTTATGACCAAATTCCACCTTTACTATTCCCAGGCATGATTCACAGGTGAATTTTATCATTGCAGGAGGGTGTTCAGAGAAACACTTCACGGTGTTATGTTCCCCTTGGGTACAGCATTCACACATATACATAAGGCCATCAGCTCTAACACCACACAGCACACACCTGGGGGCTCCTGCAGTTTAAATAACATTAGAGACATTAATACTAAATCTAGTACACAACGTATTTTTTTTTGTCAACTGGAATTTTTTCCTTGTCCATGTGTTGTCTGGATTTTCCTTACATTGCATTGCCTTCAGTAATAGTTATTCTTCATTTAAAAGCTATCTGCAATCACTATATAATGGATTTTTGAAGAGCAGAAAAGTACCTGTAAATGTCAAACAACTGTATTTTGTTGTACAGTATTCAGCTCTGCTTTGCCTGGCCATATATTTATACCTGAAAAACTTCTTTTTTATATCTTCACAGTGAAGAATCTGTTTGCATTCCAGACTGTAATCGATCTGAGTCAAGTAGAGAGGAGAAAAAGGTTCCTGTTAAAGAGGATGCCCTAACAGTCAAAAAGACTGGAAACTGTGTCAGTCTAATAGTGCCACAGCAAGATTGTCAGCTGCGAGACCTACTTAAACAGTTAAGAACACCTGCTGCTTAACAGAGAGTGCAATTGCATTTGATGGCTGTGTTTTGTTGTCTCCAGCCACAGTGTCCTGGCCAGTGGTCCTTGTCAAATTCTGTGAGCTCAGTAGAGTTGTCACTGGGAATCTTCCAGACATTGCAGAAGAGAAAGTAGGTGCTATTCTCTTTTCTCAGTATCAGACCAGTGCTAGAAGTCACTGAGATGAAGAGTGGATGGGGAAAGACAGATGCAGGGCTCTAACCATCTGCATATGATGAGAAAATCTCATCATCTCACAGGAAGAAGAGTTCCCATGATACTGACCAAATCTCACCTACATTCCAGTCTAAACAATGCTGTGTAATTCATACTGGGAAGTATTGTTGAGCTCACGTCCTCAAATCCCTCAGCAAAATTATATTTCTGTTCCAACTTCAGTATTCATATTTTCCACATCAGGGCCTAACTATCTTTTTATGTTAGTCTTACAAGTGCCATGGAATTTTTCAAGATGAAAAGTGACATAAAAATAGCATTATTGGGTACACTATGTGATGACTTGTAAGGCTATTTCTCATTAAGGGACATTTAGGCATCGGGCATCACCCTTGAGCATCATTCACATGTATGATAAAATCTATTATGGAATGGGATGTTTTATGAGGCTTTCAAAAAGCAGGCATCACAGTGTCATTTCTTTTGCATTTCTTGCATCATATTTGCATTTCTGATCTGATTAAATGCAAAGAATAAGAAACTACTTAATAATTCACAGGAGTAATTTTCTTGCTGATAAGTCTCATGTGCAAAAATACTTCTGTAATTATTTATCAGGCATGCCAAGCATGTAAAATTCCTCTAATTGTATGCTCTTTGCAGAGGATAGAAATCAAATCAACCCTTGACTCTGGAGATACAACTAAGAGAGTTAAATCTTTCTTCCTTTTTTTTTTTCCCTTTTTTTCATTTGCGTGTGTATGTGTTGCTTTTTGTTTTTTTCCTTGTGCACTGCCTGTAATCCTGATTTCAGGGTCAGGTAAGGTGATGGTTTATATTTTTCCTAGTTTCCATTTCATACCTTTAGCAATGAAAACAATGAAAATTCTTGTTGACTAACCAATGTTGAAAACACCTTAAAGCATCGGGAAGCAGAACTCACAGTTGAAGAGGTGCCGTTGTCCCTTCATCCTGTGAATAGAATGCTCCAGTGTATGTGCTGAAAGACACTTGAAATGGCATTTTTCGGACAAAAAGTGAAACCCAGTGCTAGCTACCTTAATTAACAATTGCAGTGAGGTGACAGTAATAGAGGAAAGATGTTACATCTGATACCAGGATCATTTTTGCATTCTGGGTACTGATAATAGGTGTACCAGAAATGTTTCATTCAGATACAAGACCTTTCATTTCCTTTTCTAACCAGGCATACTGTGGAAGCAGCTGCCAGAATTAGCATTGCTGATGGCTGCACTGGAAAGTCATTGGCAAAGGTTCTGTCTGTTAACTCTCTCTCAATTTCTAGTTTCGTTCATCCTTATATATTGAAGTTATTTATATAAATGTCAGTTGAGATTTTCACGAGGAAGAGAAGTATCAACAGATTGCAGTTTGTGGAGAAATATAAATAATTGCTCTTGTTGACAACAGAAAACTACTCTGAAAAATAATTGCAAAATATATTGACTATTTCTGAAACTCACTACAGGACGAAATTAATTTTTGCTTTCTATCATTCCTCTTTTTTGTTTGTTATTATTTATCTCCATATAAAAAGCAATATGAAAATAATTTACGCTAAATAATTTGAGTTATGTAGCACTAGCAGGTTATTTGTGTGTGGCAGAATTGGCTTTCACCCAGGGAAACAATTATACAGGCATGTAGAGGTTTTCTTAAAAGCAATCTAAAATGAGAGAAATAGCAATGACATAAAATAGCATTATAGTGATAGAATTGACCTAATTTAGGCACCTTTGGTTCTGCATCCAGTTTTAGCCAGTCATCCAGGTTATCCTACGGTCCTGGGAGAAACTATGACTTTACTTACTTGTTCATACAGGTGTACTGGAGTTCACCACTTCAACCACTTATTTCATGTCAGTGTTTTTAGCATATTGCAAGGCACTTGCATTCTCCCAAGGATGAAGAACTTCTGTCACTACAAGCAAAAGGAATAATGATTTGAGGTTGCAAGCAGCAAGATGAAAGAAAACACATATGTGTCCCTGCTTGCTTGCATCACAGACACATGTGCAGATTGTCCTTTGCGAAGAGTCAATTTTAATTAAATCAACAGGTAGCACACAAATCCTTTTCAGGCAGAGTAATTAGATCATTGAGTTTTTAATAAGAGGAGTCTCAATTATACCACTGAGTCTTTCAGCAGAGGAGTCTGAAAGCAGAACAGCTTCTTACTGATTACTTCAAATAACAAGAGATCTCTTTGGCAGAAAGTTGTATGGGCTGATCCAAGAACAGAAATTTATCCTGCTTATTTCTACCAGCTGGTTCTGGGGATAACATGGAGACAAAGACAAGAGAAGTCTGCAGAGTGTTGGAGCAATATCCTAACTATGTTGTCTTTTTAAGAAACAATATATTGTTTCAAGTTTGAATGTAACATTGAAACATCTAAGAATAAATTTGAAACCGATTTTAGCTCCATAATATTTAGATCAGTGTTCTGAAATACGAAATTTCATTCATGGGCTTATAAATTTAAGAATTTGAAATGAGTCTTTATTATAGTCATGAGAGGACAGATTGCAGAGATCATACAGGCCTCCAACAACTTATTGTCTAGTGTCTGTTTTCAGGTGTATCATTTCAAATCTGCATACTGACATTAGTATGTGATGAAGAACAAAAATTCCCTTAAACTTTTGTATTAATCTCTAATGATTACCCTTGCATTCCAGATTCTACTGCTGAATAATACTATGTTGCTATGCATCTAAGCTCTCTTAAAAACTAATGAATTCCATAATTTTAAGCTGATTTTCCTATTTCAGTTAAAGATATCAACAAGAGAATAAGTGACTTATTTTCAATTTACATACGCTTTCAGTAACTCTCCCCAGTACAAGTCCCTAGGGTCTCATAATCAGAATTAAATTTAGCAACTCCAGGTAATTAATGAGAATGGCATCCTTGCTAAAATATGAGAGTTTTAAGCTGCTGTCTCTGTACTTCTCTTCCTGTTTTTAATTTCTTCTGCATTTTGAAGGACCTCACAAAATACATTTGCTTTACTAGCATCCAGCTAAAAAATGCTGGTGGCAGAGCAATGCACCGTCTCATAGGTAATCATACCATAGAGGAAAGATACTACTACACTGTACTACTACATTTAGTAATACAAAATTACTGCTACAGCAGCCAAAACAAAAGGAATCGTAATCTATTCTAGACAGTTAAAAACCCCACATGTGTAAAGGGAGGGGAATATATTTTTTACACCTAAGTGGATAAAAAGCAGTTAATATCTCTTATGAATACAGAACAAAGCCCTAAAGACAAATCTCAAGTATATCTAAAAAGATTAAGTCAGGGAAGAAAATGAGAAACAATACTAATTGCTATTCTGTCATGAGGTGGACAACTGTAGGAGAAATATTTAAAGTATCAGATACTTCAAAAGCTCTCTCATTTATTCCAATTTCATTTCTTATACATATTATATCATGGTAGGTCTAGCAGGCTGGGAAAACACCAGGCAAAAATCAAAATCAAAGCAGCTTTTAATAAAGAGACTGGAGAAAAAAATAGTATGTTTTTTTTCTGAGGAAACCCCTCTTGTGCATGAAGCTGAACCTAATTAACCTATAGTGAAAGAAATTAAAAAAAAAAAAAAAAAGTGCTGCAAAAGGCTTTGTTGATCAAAAAAATTTCCTAACATTTTGGTGTCACTGATTGGAATTTGCTGCTCTCTGCTCTGCTCTGCTCTATTCTACACCATGTACCAGCAGAAAAGGAGAGGAAGGAAGAAAAATGTGCATGCAGGCACACTTGGCGCTTGAATTCCTTTGGGAGTTCAAAAGTGTAATTCTGGTCTTAAATGAAGGAGTTAAAACCTTTTTAAAGGAAACTCTAGAATTACATGATGTAAAGTTTCCCATCATTGAGGAGTCAAGGCAGACCTGGGCATAGTAAATGTAAATAATTTCATTGCTAGACATCTTAGTCCTAGTCATGTCTAGTCATCCTAGTCATGTCTCTGATCCATCTTTATTTCTCTGTTTTTAAATTGTGTGCATTGCAGTCGTTTCCAGTTAACCTGACAGAGTAGCAATATGTGGTTAGAGCAGGTTCCTTAAGTATTATCACTGCAATTCATCTATAACCAAGTGGTGATCCTTTCACAGAGGTGACAAAGGATTGCACGCTTTAGCCCAGTGTTGATTTTGTAGTAAGTAGGTCTGACATGATAAAGCGGATGATACATTTCTGACATAACAATTCCTACTATTGCTGAGCAGACTATTAGGATTTTATCTATAGGATTCGTTCCTTACTAATAAATCATGAAATCATAAAGGTTGGAAAAGACCTCTGAGATCACTGAATGCAAATGTTAACCCAGCATCGCCATGTTCACCGCTAACCCATTTACCCAAGTGTCACATCCACAAGTTTTGAACACTTCCAGGGATGCTGATTCTACTACTTCCTTGGGAAGCCTTTTCCCATGCCTGACAACACTTTCAGTGAATGGTACTTGTTTCCTATTCAGTTTTTAATATCAAGGAATTTGCAATGAATAATGGTCAAGTCTTTCGGGTTTTTGCACAACATTTATATCATTTATATCATTTATATCATTTATAACGATGGCAGTTGGCTGGTCCGATGGCAGTGGTATTTATAATTGATCACAGTCAGTTACAGATTTCTTTGTTCTTTCTCCACACCCACTGCTGCACTTGACTAGTCTTTTTTCGCGGAGACCCGGGTTCGATTCCCGGTCAGGGCCACTCCCGGGCAGGTGGGGCTCGTTAGCCCTTAAAGGCAACCCACCTACGTCCTAAGGACCTCACTGCCACCGTCCAAGCTCGCTTGGCCCCGGCAGATGAACCTTAGGATTAAAGGGTGGGCTCAGTTCCGCGCACACTGTGTCTCACCTAAAAAATCCAATGCGCAGGCTGGAAGGTGTAAAGACCTTCCCCGGATCTTCGCTCGCGAAGACTGGCCATTATTTTTTTTTTTATATCAAACAGCCACTGGGTCTCCTTCAGAGTCCTAGGATCTCCATGAGAGCTTGATTACTCTTGGGTACAGTGCAAAGGCAGAGAAGGAACGCTTCAGCCAAGACTGACCCAAAACCAAACTGAGATTCAGGGAGGTTGGTGACTTGCTCCACTGAAGATTTAACTGTCAGCTGCCTTTGCCAAAGGCAAACCTCAGGTTTCATCCTTTTCCTTTCCCCAGGCTCTTTAGCCTCATAGCACTCCTTAATGATTGTCTCTTCAACTGTGACCAGCGAGGAAGTAACATGTTCCCTTCACAAATTCTTAAAATCTGACCTTCAGTCAATGAAAATGTCTATATGCGTTCAGTGCTCATGTGCATACTTAAAGCTGTAGAGTTTGAAACATCTCCACTAAGCCAGTGCTTGAAGTCAGGAGAGGTGCTAGAATATACCTCTTTCTTTGGGCAAACATCCTTCATGTTAATGGCATTTATTTCACTGCTGTGGCAGGCATGCCTGTCACAGATCCCTCTAAGACCTCACCAAGAGGACACTGGTACTGGAACTAGGCCCTCTCTTTCTGCCTGATCAAAATTACAAGTGCCCGATCAGTCTGCCTCTTGGTCCAGCTCAATTCAGCTGCAGCTGGGACAAGGTCTCATGGTCATTATACCAGACCTAGAGGCAAGATCTCATCTGCCAAATGATCCAAATTCTGTTCCTGCTGCTGGCACTGAGCTTCCACTGAGCTCAGGACTCAGCACAACCAAGGAGCCAGGGCTCTCAAACAATTCTCAACACCCATCAAGTTCCTGGGAGAGAAGGATACAATTCTCAGAGGAAAGAGTTTTCCTCTTCAAGACATTAGTGTCAGCTCCTGTTCAGTCTAGGACAGCATCTACAGAGATCCAAAGAATCAAAGTGAGCAGTGCTACAAATCAGATTTTGCTTTTCCTTCTTGCTCTGATTTTGGTACAGAAGAAGGAAGGGATTGTCTCAGCTGCAAGTTACAATCCATCAGCTGTTTTGCCTGGTATTTTGGGGATAGGGGCCTAACAGTCAACTTCCAAGATCCAGATAACATCCTGGTGACCCTTATGTACTTATACAGATCATCTCCCAGTCTACCCTCTCCTAAAGTACTCATTGGTTTACATTGTGTTTGTCTACTGGATTCTGTCATGCTGCTTTTGAAGGGGAAAGCTGTTGGCATATGTTGTGTTACATGATCCATCGTAATTTCATGTATTGTAATCATGGATGTAAAGTCAGAAGAAGGTTTTGTTTACAATCAGCACACAACTTTTCTTTTAGATGACTGCAAGAGCTATTAAACTGATAGTTTGAGGTAAGCCTCCACATGAAAGCTGATATAAAGTCATCTGTGTTTAGTAAACTATATGCTTTAAAAACTGTTACGCTGCAGACTAATGTGAGTATATCTATTGCAAACAAAAAACAAATCTGTGATAATCTGACAGGGTTTCCAATATTGTTGTCTTTTCAAAAATCCTCAGTGACTATAGCAAACGTTTTGGAAACTGAAGTAAAATCGAATTATCTGAAAATCTGTTGCATTTTATACATAAACCTTTTTTATTTGCATGTGGATACTGTTTTTCCTGTTGATGTCACTTCACAGTCATTGTCTGTTTCAGCTAAGAAATATTTCTAAAGGTCTTCCTTAATCCCAAGAACTATAGGTTAATATATGTGCAAACACCTGCTCATCAGCCTGAGGAAAATGTAAAAGGAATGAGACATTTCATTCTATGTGTATACAAGTGCCATAGCTGGCTTTTTTTAGGTAGCAAGAGGAGAAAAATAAGCAACTTTGATAAAGAGTAGAGTATGATGGGATCTGAAGAGAATTTACCCTAAGAGGACTCATTTTTCAGAAAAGTGGAGCAAAACATTTATTACTGTCTCCAAACTCAGGTCACCATGAGGAGCTGCTTGTATAGTTTGTCCAGTATTTCTTTCCTACTAGGAACATAGTTTCATTGTCTGAGCTGACCTGCAACTAAAAAAAAAGTAAATTATTTCTTTTATCTAGTGGCAGCTAATTTACCAAGTGCCTCAAAGACGAAGTCACTCATCAGAAGTAGGTCTCCACCTACAGCCAGTATAGCCCCTTTCTGTGTTATTACTCCTGTACTTCCAAGTAGTGGTAGTGGGATATAAAGAGTTTTGGGTTTTTTTCCCATCCATAACAGGTTGCTCTTCTCCATCTCCCAATCTAGAATCCCTGCCCCATACCTGGAGTGCGCAGCCCAAACTTACACCAAGCTCCTTACCACTGAATGCTCCCAGACCAGCCTACATACCTGCCCCCAGTTAATTCAGGTCTCTCAATTATTCCTCAAGCATTTCATTATCCTTCACTCCTCCATGCATCCCTCAGTATCACAGCCTCTCTGACACCAATTCAACAGAAGGGAAGCCATCAAGCTTCTCCCTCCTCCAAGATGGACATTTCCCATGTCCCAGGGGCCACAGCAGAGGGGTCAATGGTGGCCATGAACTAGCACAGAACAGGTCATGGCTGGATGCACAAACATGGCCTGTGAAATGAGCTGGCACACTGCTTGTTTTCCTAGGACGTATAAGTATAAATTATAGATATAAATATATTGCAATTGATAGATATAGATATAGATGAAATTACAGTCAGCTTTAAGATGAATATAAGCTCTGAGATACAATATACCCATGGTATAGGTACAGTCATTGTATTTTTAACTTTGATGCAAGTTACCATCTTATTTCTGTTTACAGCTCTAATGGGAAATCAGTTTCCTGGGCCCAGAACGAGAAAAGCAGCCGAGGAGCACACCTTTGGCAGCGGTTGTCAGTCCATATCAACAAAAAAGAGAACCCCAATCAAACTGCAGTGATCAAGCCTTTTTCTAAAAGCACAGATAGTAGCCGACCCAGTAGCAGCGCTACATTTCCTGAGGCTAGTGCCAAAACACTTTACGACGTTTCGGAAGCTGAAGAGCAATACCCAGCTCAGTACCGGCCGCAGACTCCCTCACCCATCAGCACTTTGAGCCACAGAACTGCCTCCGTTAGCCGAACAGAAGACGATGCCCCCACCTTCCAGTCAGAACCTCCGCAGCGAAGTAGCTCCTCTCAAGGCTCCCTCATGGAGCAGATCAGTAGTGTGGTTACTCGCTTTACAGCCAATATCAGTGAGCTGAACTCTATGATGCTTTCGACAGCTACTCCAGGGACAATGGTGGCTGCTCCTCTCTGCTCTTCATACCTGATTCCGCGGGAAATCCAGCTCCCTACAACAATGACCACGCTTGCAGAGATCCAACCGCTTCCCGCCATTGAAGTCAATGGCGCTTCACAGTCTGGTAGGAAACCTTCAAATGACAGCGTCAAAGAAGGCACTTCAGAGACCCCGTCAGCCAAGCAAGACCTGGAGGAGTTGGTAGCTTTAACTCCTCCTTCTCCTTTTAGAGACTCCATTGATTCTGGAAGTGCATCTCCCAGCTCTCCAGTTTCTGAATCAGCTCTCTGTATCCCGTCCTCTCCCAAATATGACACACTCCTCATCAGAGATTATACTCAAAGTTCTTCTTCGCTGTGAATGTAATTCAAGACAACATTGGATCTCAACAGCTATAAAGAAGTAGCGAGGGAACAGCCAAGCCTTCAAGATCTCCAGTGTTTACGCAGATAGAGAGGCATTGGGTCATCTCGTGAGAAATGGAGGGGAAGAAGAGGAATTATTTGAGAAGTGGAAACATCAGATTAATTATGCTGATTTAAAGACAAAATGACTCTTGGCAGATTATCGTGGCCTTAAAAAAACATGGGCTTTTCAGAAACACTGAATCTACTTTTGAGGGCTTATAAGGAGTCTGTTAATCCAGTTACATACCAAGTGCTTTGCTTTAGTATTACAATGAACTGTGTGTACAATATACGGGGTAGGGTGGGAGGGAAACTAGATTGTAAACAACTGTACAATGGTTTGTTTGTTTACTCTGATTCCTTACCCAGAAGTGAACCTTGATCTTTTATCAAGAATAGAAGACCAAACATTGAATGTACATTTTCTAACAGACTCAAATCTGGGACCAACCTGTCAAGCTTTCTTTCCTTTTTTTTTTTTCTATGAAGATCTCAACAAGCAGTAATGTATGTTCAATAACTATGAAACTTTTTGCTGAAGAATATTGTGTCTGTGATACCTTACACTTGGATAACACTAAGCTGAGGCTTTGCAGTGAGTGACTGCAATATGGAGGGCTTTACAAGTGACTTCTCTACCTACACGTTTGTTTATGAAATTCTCTTCTATCAGTATCAAAAGTTCGATTTGTTAACATTGGATTCACCTTCACAACAACAAAACACAAGGAAGATTTCCTGACTATTTCACCATGTTGCCAACTAATAATGAAGTAGCAAAAAATATTTTCTGGAGTACTGTTTTGTAATTCCCTTATCAGGGCAAGTTGTTGAGATGAATATTCTCTTTCTAGCAGCACTACTGAGCTATATTATAGCTGCACTCCCTACTGAAACTAATACATTTTTATGGATGTTCTTATGCTAACATTACCAGTTAAAATACTTATTCAGATTCCCATAATCTTTGCTTGTAAGGAACAGGTAAACACCCTAAGGATTTTCTTCATACTTTGAATGACAGAATTCTGGGAGACCAATATGGATTATGATGAATGCTTACAGTCAGTGAAAAGGTTGTCATAATCATAATTAATATATATAGGGAAAAATGACCCGTGTCAAAGTCTGCTTAGAGGTGATTTAGCTACTCTTTAATAAGCAACAATTTTGAACTTATTTAGCTGCTGATGTACTGCAGCTATGAACTGTGACAAAAAAAAAATACTTTCAAAGCAATACAGAGTTAAGGTTAAAGCAGAGAAGACCTAATGAGATACGAATCAACAGTCTTTGTTTCTTAACAACTCAGAATAAGGAAGGGGATTCCTCATATTTTTTTCCTATATCAAGGTAGTACAGTTTAGTGCACTTCATACTGTCACAGCACTTTTTTAATACAGGCAGGGAAGAGTTTTAAAAGTTTGAATAGTAGCTAAATAATTTTTGATAGGTGTAGTTACATAGAACTTTTAAGTCAGACCCTAAACGCACACTGTATTGGCTCTCTTCTTCATGACATAGCTGTCCTCAGGTGCCAAACTTTTATGGATTTGTTTTATTTTATTTAAGGGTAATATGAAGTGGTGAGTGATGTACTTCAATTCAAAGTTGAATTGATGTAGCCTTATACAGAAGACAGCTTCAAGGAAGGGAGCCTTGAAATAAGGCTGCTATGCTTCATTTTCAAAACCTTTTAGATCTTATTTCTTCAAAGATAATGAATATTTTGTAATCAGAATTCATACCTCCTTTTCCTCCCCTATGTCCAAAATAATAAATATTTGATCAAACAAGCAAAAGATGAAAGCACATTCACATACTTTAGCAAAGATTATTTTCTATTCCTTTGGGATGCTTATTTCTCTATTATGTGTTGCACCCCAATTTGCTGCTCAACAACATTTAAAATAGAAAAGTAACAGATGACTGAATCCAAACCAGCACCTCAGAGAGATACTCAGTGACACTGTGCATCCTGAGCAAGGCAGTGTTATCCAATTGCAGTCTGGGCATGCTTATTTTTCCAGGTACAGTTGTTTATTAGCTATGCCTATAGCATGAACAGGCAGGTCACAAAACAGCTCTACTCCAGAAGGCAAATTGATACACTAAGTCATGACTGTAGGTCCCTGTTGCTTATGTGTAGCTTTTGCCTCCCATGACTGCTTAGCACAGACTCAGTTCTGTGCAGCTCTATGGTTTCCAGACTAGAGCTCAGTTCTGCCCTCTTGGTTCACAAAACTAGCATGTCTCATCATCCCCTAGCTGCCCATGTCTTTAGGAGAAAGAATCTTCTGTCACTGGTTACAACCCACATCTAAAGGGAAGAGCATGTCCAATCAGTCTGTGACACAAACATTCTCATTTAGGGAGACTAGACCACTTAAATGTTGTTTGTGGAATACTTATATGATAATATATGTCTCCCATCAGTGCAATATTGTTTTGATACAAACAGAGTGTCCTGAGATAGTTAATGTTAATTTCAAAGGGATTCTATTACTACCTGTTCTCTTATACATTAAACTGTTGACCAACGTCCTTACAAGAACATTCTCCGTCTTGATCTTACCCTAGTATTTTAGGTCCCCATTTCTGTAGTCTTTTTTTATAGTGGTGAACAATTAATGTTAATGTATTCTCGCTAAAATTAGTGGGTTTCACTGCAACGTGAAATAATCAGCAGTGGAAATAAGGATTATACAGACAAACATAAAAACCTTTTCTTAAATATAAAATTTAAAAAAAAGGAGTGAGAAATATAAACTGTCAAACTCAGCATAAATATACCTCTTCTGCTCCCAAACTGCAATTCTGAACCATCCTGGCCTTGCTCAGAGCTTCCTGACAACTTTCATATATATTGCCAAGATGATATAGGTATACAGATGCACCATGCCCCCAAACACACAAACACCCCAGTCTAACACCTGAATGCATGGTTTAGAGGCCTAAAACCATAATGTTACACAATCCAAATTTTAAACACTTTTGCCCACTCTCATTTTGGGAGGAGTCATGCGTCTTTTGCATATCTATCAACCACAGCAGAAATCTTAGTTGCACAAGGAACCATGGATGGACCTTGCTGAGATAGTACCCTCTTGGAGTCAGTCTATTTTTAATGAAAAATAGTGGCATTTAAATAAGGCACAATAAATCTAATTGTGCAGCCTGGAATACACCAACATCATCTTCTATGAGGTGTTTGGATTTCAACAGAGGGAGAAAAGGGATTTTGGAGAATAAGGTGACAAAAGTGTAATGCCTGTAGTAGTAATTCAAAGGAGCCCAGAGGGAGATTTGCAAGACTGGAAAGTTCCTTGAGAGAAGCCAGTGGGTATGACATAAGAGAAAAGAAAATTATGAATGACAGACATCATGATTTCACTATGCTCTTTGTACGCTAGTCCCTGTTTAGGACATTAAGATAAAACGGTATGGTTTTTCAGGCATAAATGCAAAAGTTACGATCATGAATACTTTCTAATCTAACTAAAGAATGTGCAAGTACCAACTGAATGGCTTGAATTTGCCTTCCAATTTAGTGCTGCTGCCAGAAACAGAATTAAAGGAGTTGAAACTTAAAAGGAGTTGTCATTCTTGACCACAGGGACCTCAAAAAATCATTTATTTCTTTTGTGCTTGAGGCCAACCCTGAAGAATGAGGGTGTAACCACCTCTAGATCTGTGCTTTGAAATAAAGTGAATCACTCTGGCAGCCCAGTTGGGAAAAAAAGCTTTGCAATACTGAAGAAGAATTGCATTTTTAAATTGGGTCTGAAGAATAATTGCATGACTTTGGAGATGTGCTTCCTCGTACTTCTATCTGAACATTTGGTGCCTAGACTCATACAGATACTTTAGACCAGATATTTTTAGACCACAGTCCACAAATCCCTTGCTGATGTTTCATGGGAGCCTAGCTGATCACAAGGTACTGGTTTCTTCCATTGATTTCCAGCCAGAAAAGTGAGTTAGAAGCTAAATGCTAATTAAAAAATAACTGTTAAAAGATTTAAAAGAAAAAAAAACAGTTATGTTACTTTGCTTGGATGTTTATTCAGTTGCTGTGTTTGCAAAAGGAAAGCTTTTAATCAAAACTGGGAGAATAAGATCTACAGAGAGAGTAAATGTGTAGGCCAATCCATGATTCTGCCTCTGGATGATAGCAGAGTTCCCCTGGGAATGTTTTCATTAGAGTGTGCCAGACCAAAATTGAAAGACTGCATAGCTGTGGGTGTAAGGACTGTAAAGGAAAGTGTGCAACCTTACTATTCTGCTTAATACTGCTTCATGAACAAGAAAATCATTTATGAGGTGAGAGGAAAAAAGATGACAGAAACAGCCAGCATGCTAAAAAGTTGGTTCCTTAGGGAAATAAGAGCACTATGCTGAGGATTAATAATGTGACCATGATTTTTTTAGTGTATTGGAGACCAGTGTCAGGGCTGACTAAAAAAGAAAAGGAGTTTGGTGCCTCATGTTAGGATTTCATTAGAACTTAATGCCTACATTTAAAACTCAACTTCAAAGCCACTATTCAACTGCCACCTTACTTGGGCATCAAGCATTGTATGTCTGCGTATGCTCAGAAGTACCCTCATCTTCACACATATCTTTGTACATAATTCATGCTAAAACCCATCAGGAATGCAGAAAACACTGGTTTCTTGGTTAAATCGCTGTGTATGCCATACTGCACACAGAATGCACAGTACTTAGACATCAGGATCATATTCCCTACAAAATGGAGTAGAAATCATCCTTTGTTTTAAGGTTGTGGGTCTGATTATGCTGCTGTTTTTATGACACCTTTAAGGTTAGAATAGTCAGGTAGTAGGCAAGTGACCTGAATTCAGTCCCTACCATTGTTGGAGGTGATGAAATCTTCCTCCTGGCTGGACAGTGCTCTAATGACTCAGTTTTGAAATATCCTCTGTTCATCTCACTAAGGTCATTTTACATGATAGAAACAAAATTTAAGAGCCTTGCACTAGAAAAGGAACAGCTACTGTGCAACCTGATAGGACATACACTTGGTATAATTAATGATCACATGTGACCATTTAATATAAAATACTTAAAAAAATTTCTGTAACAGGGACCAGGTGAGTATTTTAACTCCAAAGAAGTGGAGACAACCTTTTGTCTGTGCTATGTATTGGCTAGAAAAAAATGTTTCCTGAGAAGTGTTTTAGTGACAGGAGGGGAGGATGTGCCCTTACATAACTCTGTCTGCAACCATCTTGTCTGCCATCTGGAGTTCTTAGACGCTTTCATGGAAAGGAGACACTGAGCCTTCTTGGATAGGTGAAGGAATTAAACTTGGGGTCCCGAATTCTCTGAGACTGCAGAAAAAGGGACCCCTTTCATTTTCCTCCAGCCATCTTATACAAAGGAAACTCATCTTTGAAACAAAAAGTATAGTGCTGTCCAAAAATTGATCCCAGTGGAAAATTAGCATTTTCTGTTCATTGCATTTCCATGTTGATTCAAGTAGGGTAATCCTGGACATCTCCTTCCTTGTTGTGTTGTTTTATTGGGCACCTAACTCTCCTCACAAACTCCACAGTAAGGTTAGACATTTAACAAAGGGTTCTGACCCCCACACTAGAGCCAAAAAACTATGTATTACACTGTATAACTAAGGGCTGAAGTCCTTTGCTGGCATTGGCTTCTAATCTATTGAGGTCAAGGGACTCACTCCAGATTAACATCCATCTAAAGGAAATCAAAGTTGGATAATAGCCAATGAAGTCTAGATTTTGGCTACTTGTTCTGCAAAGAATGATAATGACAGGATGTTCTTCCCGCTTTCTTTTGAATCAAACAGCAGATGGATTTTACTAGTTTCATTCCTGAAACTAGGCTTGGTGAACAGTACCTTCCTACAATACTTCTTTATCATTGCTAGTCTATCTGGTACCTCAGTGGGAAAATCATCCTCTAACTTAACATATGTGTTAAAGGATGCAAGAGAATGTGTCCAAAAGTAAGAAGCAGGTCACAGTTTTCTGGGAGTTTCATGAATCTCATAAAAAAAAGTCAATACTCTTCATGAATAAGAAAATCATTCATCTGCTACCCATTCCACTGGGCACTTCACTTAGTAAAGACATCAGCTGAGTCACCCAAAATCACTTTTTTTGCAGTGGTTTATTTTTATATCCTCTATTCAAACCTCTGCAATAGCCACTTACAATTTTATACCAGGAAAAGGAAAAGAGATACAGACCAGTGAAGCATAAAGGTAAGTAAAAAATTCATCTGAGGAATTAATTGGTATATATATGGCTGGTTTTGTCTCATCTGAGTAATGACAGTACTAACAAATAATATTCATTAAGTCACTCTGATCTGCCAAATGGGAACAAATATACTATGTATATTACATGTACTAATAGGATTATATGGCAGCTGCTGGTGGTATTTGTAATTAGAAATCTATATAGAATATAGATGTTTTAGAGAGACGGTGCCAATTCCAAAAGATCTGTGTGGGCTATAAGTGCTTGTAATTATTTTTTTTTTAATTTGCTAATAACTTATGAAGAACCAGTTTCAAACATTCTGTGAGCGTTTGTTCTTTTTTATGTTGTTGCTGCTTATACTATTAAAAATAGAGAATGTAAAGTTATTATTTTGATGTGAACTGAAAATGATTTTTCATAAAATTTAACATTTTTATCAGCTTTGGTTTTGCTTTCTACCTGTACAAATGTAATTTATTTTAGCATTTAAGAATACACTTGCTTGTTTCTCAATTGTCTACATCATGTTATAGTTGGTGTTTTTGAACAGTATTAAAAAAAATCTGTGATATGACTGAACACTGGATCTTTTTTCTGTGAAACACTTACAGCTGTCTTCTCAGTGAATTTTTCTGCAAACCAGGTGTGCCTACGCACAAACTCTTCAATTATAGCCTTTCTCTCTCTCTTTCTCTCTCTCTGTTATTTTAAAGGATTAACTTAACATTAATGGTATCATGGTTGCATACCCCCGGGTATAGTTTGATCTTTCTCTTTTGAAGCAAACACAATCTCATGGATGAGTTGTCTATGGATTTTCAGGTTGGAGGAGATAGCATAATAATCTAGTCTTGAACAACAGAAAACAAAGCTGTTCAACTGAGAATTCACATGCCAAAACATTATTTTTACAGATGTTGTAAGGAAGTACTTTACTCCTATCATTGCAGGTTCTCATCTGATCTTGAATTTCAAAAAAAAAAAAAAAAGGAGAAAATGTTCTATATCATAGAATAATTTGATTTCTAGTACTCTGCCATTGTAACCTCTAGGAGTCAATGCCCTATTTCAAGTCTGGCTACATTCTGTTTCCAGCCAACAGATTTTGTTTTACTTTCCCTACTAAAAGGGGGGGGGGAATTGAAATCTCACTTGCCCAAAAAACCCACAATCAGATAAAAACAATTTAAAAACCCACCAAAGGAAACCAAAACCAAAAACAACAGCAAAACACCCAAACCAAACAAACAAGAAAACACACACACAAAAAACCAAAACCAAAACAAAACAAAAAAAACAAAAAACAACCAAACAAAATCATTTGTTGTTGACAAATTAAGGGGATTAATTCATAACACAATGGTAGGTGAAGTGCCCATCTCCAGCTAAAAACAATGTGAATTCACATCATGTCTTTAAACCACCTAAAAGTCCACATTCCAAAGTAAATTCTTTCAGCACAGAAATCCACAGCAGTTGTTTCAGTGAAATACACTGCTTTGGGTGAAGAATATTTTAGCAAAAAAACCATTGCAATCACATTACATATTAGAGACCAAGATTTTGAAAATGATGTGCAATACCTTGTTTTATTGCAGAATATTTTTAAAGCAGTTTCTGAAACACTATATCAAATTTGTTCCATTTGCAAGAAAAATTAATTTATTCCATTGTCCATGACCATCTCTCAGCTGTGTTTCTGCTGAATTTCTGTTATCACCTACAGTATGATGACCTTCAGAAACTAATAAGCTGATAAATCCCATTCCAGATTAAATCACAAAACAGCGTTTATATAAAAGGAGAGGGTTTCAGTTCCATAGTATGCCTTCAAAAATACCAGGGTAGTTAGTGGTAAGAAAAGCAAAACTCATTTTCTTAAAGAGTTTGGAGTCTTAGTTCTCTGCCTCTGTGGAGCCTGATCATTCTTTCCTGTTTGGTCCATAAATGTTATCTGACACCAGAGAAGCCTTACTGTCAGTATTGCCCTCCTTAGCTGAACTCCTCCTGTCATGCTCCGTCTGTTTGCAGCAGGGACAAACACTGGGAAAAGGGCTGGAATTCTAAGAACTGCCAATCTTCCTTTGTGTCTGTTTGGGGGCTAGCTAATAAATTTGTTTTCCTATTGTATTAGTTTAAGACCAAATCACAGTGGAGTGCATGAGACATTTATGAACACAAAATAATTAGATCAGCTTTCTTTCACATATTCAGAGACATTTTTAATTTATTTACACTTTTTCAGGAAAGTAGCTTCAAACCACCATCTGCTTTTATTTGTTTGTTTGTCTTACAATTTAGTAAACTTTTTAGGTTAAAACAAAGCAGTCAGCATGCTTGTTCACTATGATTTTGCTTAATGTTGATTCAAAACTTACCTCCACGTAACCTACCACATTGAATTGCTTATCAAGGATCAGGAAATCAAAAGCCTCACTGTTTAGTGTTGCCTGGGCTTTCTCACACATGTTGTGAACATATATATCATAGAATCACAGAATTGTTTAAGTTGCAAAAGACCTCTAAGATCATCAAGTCCAAATGCTAACCCAGCACTGCCAAGTCCACTGCTAAACCTTGTCCCTTTGCAGGACATCTACATGTTTTTTGAACATTTCCAAAGGGTGACTGCACCACATCCTGGGAAGCCTGTTCCGATGCTTGAAATAGGTTCACATGTGTGGCAATGGATTTACCATATGTAGGATGGAAAAAGTCCTGTCAAAGATGGATTGGTGAAGAAAAAGAAGAAAACAGCTCAAATGTTATAGAAACAGAAGGTTTTAATGTTGTTTAAACATATCTTAAAATGGCCTTTTGTATTTCTGTAAAGTCACTGCTTCTTCTTACCAACACCCCCTGCAAAGAACTCTTATCTCCCATGCAGGAATGTCCTGGGAAGATATCCTGAGGTCTTCTCATTGGCCTTTGTTAACCCTTTCCTATTGGCTATTAACTCTTTACCTGATTGTTTTTTTCTGTAAGATCCTGAGACTGTAATTGGTTCTTTTTTAATCCCCCTAAAAGCCTTATAAACCCCCATCCCCACAATAAACTCCTCTTTCGTCCATCCCTCTGCATGGTCTGTGTGAGCTCCTTACGGGTTCACAGGGCCGCGTGCTCTGGGGCAGGGTGGGGAAGCATTCACCTTCAGGGAATGGTCTAACACTCAGGTCCTGAAGGTTCCCCCTCCAACCCATCCGTACACATGGATATGAAAAGAGTGAGACTTCAGATTTGTGCTTGTTTGATTAAAGCGAAGAGGAGGCTCAAGTGCTTGTCACAAGATTGATGCTGTGTGTTATTCACTCCACAGGTTGCTCCACGGCCCTTGGCCCTCATGAGAGTAATTCCCAGAACATGGCTCTTCTCTACTGATCCCCTTCTGCTCTGAGCCACTCCTGAGGCACTCCAGAGCTTCAATTATGAATACTCTTAAACATGTGTGTATGCAACAAGGATGCCAGTTGAATCTGAGCTTAAGAATCACTTTAGACTTACATTTATCTAACTATATAGACACATTACTGATGAACCTGGAGAGGAAGATGCCAAGAGGACATGGAATTCTACGAAGCTCAGTCTCAGACTAGAAGGGTAAGATTTGCTTCCAAGTAGAAGATGAACACTACAAGGTGCCCCAAATTTGGGTATCAATGACAAACTTACAGATAAAATGCCATTGATGCCAAATATGAAATGCAGATGTGCTGTGCATGTAGAAAGTATAAAGGTAACATGTAGAATATTGAGATAAATTGACTAAGACAAATAAGGAAAAGAATACCAAAAACAAAAATTCAAGACTGTATTAGAGTGAGATATTATTAGAAGAGTAATCATGAGGCTGTGAACTTAGGAAGCAACTAAAAGACCAACACAACTCTGGAGGCCCACCTGAAAGTAAACCAGTCAAAAGTGTGAAGTACCGCACTGACATGAAGCAGGTTGTGGATGGGAAAGCATTAAAGAGCAGGAAAGGAATACTCTAATGATGTTATTGAGGTCACTGAATTTCCATGCCAGTCATACCAAAGTCCTGCACAATTATAAACTGTGTGAGATACCATTATTTCCATATTATATTCAGATTATTTTGTCCCGTTTCCTCTTCTGAGTCTTTGTTTTTGTTACTTATGACCAAAAAGATGCTAGATGGTTAGATAATTGTGATAGTAAAATCTGGTATCAAGTTAGTGCAGTAAAGTTGAAAACATGTAGACTTGCCACATTTGTCTTTGGTAAGATAAGAATGGGAAACACTGCCCATATATGAATACCAAATGTCAGAGAATGTTCAACCAAACAACAGGCTTCACCAAGCTTCGCCTTAAAGCAATACAACAGAGTGTCTTGGCTTATACCCCTTACAGTTTATCCCAGCTACCTTCCAAATAGTCCTGGGAGGCTTGGAATGATGACTCCATTAGGTCAAAATACCAGGCTTCTTTGTTGCACTGCTGCTCCAACAACAAACAGCAAGATTCCATAGAAGAGTCCGAAGCTGCTGAGATGGATTACATGAAAATATAGGAATTACCTTTTCCTCTGTTATTCTTCAGTTATCTGCTGATGACAGACCACAGGGCAGTGAGTTTCTAATTTCTTCATTATCTTTTCACTATCCCAAACAGACAACAAATACACAACATGATAACCAACAGGAGGTGTTTGATCATCTCATACTGCATTGACAGCAGCTGTATTCAAAACAGATTGCTAGATACAAGCAGTGGATCAACACTGGCTGAGAGGGAACATGAAGTCAGATGAAGGAAGGAAAACATATGTCTTACCAAACAAGGGAAAAAAAAAGGGACTCATATTACAGCAATATCAATCTTGAATAATTTCACTGAAAATACTGATGATGAGTGTGAATGAGACTTATGAGTGTATAACAGATCAGAGTCTGAGGCTGTGTTCAGGGTGACTGGC